AATCCAGAATGAATGGAGAAAGCCGGCTCTCTCTGTTTGAGAGCAGCGCGCACAAAGTTTTCCCCATAGTACTTGGATGGGAGACCGCCTGGGAATACCAGGTGCTGTAAGCATTTTGCCCCTGGAGCTCGGGCCTGGGGGCGAGCTCAACAACAGCGCGAGTTGTTGTCGTGTAGTTGAGTTGAGTTGAGTGCAGCTTGCAGTTGTTTCCGTCTCTCACCACGCATCATTTCCGGTAGCATATCAAACAAAATAATGAAAGTTGTTTTAGTAGTGTTTGTTTCCACTGCATAGCAGTGGAAACAAATGGGTGAATATTTCATTTAGAATGTTTTGATTTTCCAATTTAATTTAGAAAATGGAAATACAATAAAACAACCACGTAATTTGTTTTTCTGATTTTGTTTTGAAACGGAATAACTAATGATCGAAGGGTACACGGATTAATTATGCCATATTTTTCTGTAAATTGTTGTTTGAATGGAAAGATAAATGACAGCTTAGTGAACATATGTATTGTATTTGTTTGTTATAACAATAAATCCATATAAAATGGAATTAACATTATTAACATTCTGTCTTTCTGTTTAGACTCAGACCAAAACCATTGTTTGTTACAGATGAGGGACATTTCAAAATAGTCTGAAAATAGTCTGAAATGCAGAATGTCATTAAGTCTGTTTGATTTGCTCACACCATTACTTTTTTTGGCACAACTAACATGAACTGATGGTCGAAAGGAAAATTAGGTACCTCAGCTTTAATTTAGCGAGTGCGCTTCGGGGGAAGACACGGAGGAGACTGAGGCTCCGCAGTCCAGCTTCAGTGCTGTACATATTGTGTGCATTGGTTATGTAAAGACACGTATGCACACTAGAGAATAGTTCTGTAATAGTTCTGTGCGTGTTCTTGGATATGATCTCATTACGCAGCGCCGTTCGCCGTGATCAGAGCCGCTGGAAGTGGTGCTGCTGTCCAGAGCGCTGTCATGCAGAGTTAATACAGGAAACAACAAGTGCCCCGCGGTCACGCATGTATTCTTTCAAAACTTGAATTCCCAGAGGGCCTACCTGCTCTGTCCCCATCTTACACACGCATGTGTCCGCGGCATTCTGAGTGTTATTATGGGACGCATGAGCATGCGTAAAATGCGTAATTTTTTAAAACGCGATTAATGAACAAAATTAATTAATTAATTATTAGTGCGTTAACGCGATAATTTTGACAACCCTAGAATTTTTGCAAATCTGCAATATGAGAAGAATGGTCTTATCAGTTTGTCAGCAGTAGTATATTACAATACACGCCCACTCTGTTTTTGATGTGTGTAATCAGTCACAACAGTCCTCTGCTGCACGCCATACTCAGCCTTGACTCTGTTATCAGGTCAAACTACATCAATAAACCACAATCTCTTCCTCAAACACTCATCAAAGCCATGGTGTGTGTCCAGATTACCAACACACTCATGAGCACAGAGGGGGACTTGTAGATTATGAATGTAATTAGTGAGATTAAAACAGGACAGACTGATAAGTCAGCATTTGTATTTACAGTACCTATACTTTTGAAGGTTGTATCAAAGGAAAATAAAGCAGCAATTGCGCATGCACACACACACCATGGATCTATTATAATAACTGGATAGGGTATTACTAGCTTGGAGCTGAAGAACCCATGTGCTCGGGGGATTCTTGCGGTACTGCAGACTAAACCAGACTAAATTCACGTGGGCTACCCAGAAATTTTCCCCATAGAACTCAATGTAAACCAAAACGGCGCGACCTCAGCTGACAGAAAACCTACAACTTTCATAAAGATCGGATTTTGTGTGGATTTTAGTGTCCCTTGTCATCCTGAATTTTTTTCTTCTTAAATCCTTCGTTTTCTTTAAATCATCACTTTAGTGCCACAAACTCTGCCCGTCTGGCTCCCGCTCTAACTCCCGCTCTGTTGAGCAGTTCGGATTGGTCAGAGCGCGGCTGAGCCCCTCTGTGCGCGTGCATGACAGCCACACACGCGTATTTTGCCCAAATACAGGCGAGTTTCCCATGGATCTTTGCGAGTTCCAGGCGAGTTCCGCTAATATGTCAGCGACCGTGCCGGCACAAAGCGCCACTGAGCACAAACCATTCATTTGAATACGGCGCCATCTTGGATCGCCGGGGCTTGACACACACACGCATGCACACACAAACATACACACACGCACACACTCAACTGTTTTGTTGTGGTGTTTATATAAAGTCAAGGCAAGTCTGTTTGAAGTGTAATTTATAAAGGACAATCTGCAGTTGCATGTAAAAGATAGCTGCACCAGATTTAGCACCATGCTGCTTTCCACGTGTAGTCCTTTACATGGTGGTGCCACCTCCAGTCCTCTGAGGCTCAGCAGGGCAGGGCCTAGTTATTACTGTGATGGGAGACACAGTAATAACTAGGGGGCCACAGTGGGGAGGCTGAACCTGTAAAGTGCCAAACTGTGGTTGTAGAGTGCCAAACTGTGTTTGTGTCCTTAGGCAAGACACTTCACCCACATTAGAAAAAGTCTGGTGTGTGTGAATGGTTGGTGGGGGAAGGAGCTGAAAGCACAGACTGGTTCCCTCAGTTCTGTCAGTGTGCCTCAGGGCAGCTGTGGCTACAGTAGTAGTTTATCACCACCGTGTTTGGAGTGAATGAGTAATGCTGAGAAGAGACTTTGAGCGTCCAGAAAAGCATGGTATGAAACCTATGCATTAGTACGAGGGCTGCCAAACGATTACAATTTTTAATCGAGTTAATTACACCTTAGAAATGAATTAATCCTAATTAATCGCATTTCAGACTATCGGCAAAATTATGCAATTTTTTCTGTAAATGGTTGTTTGAATGGAAAGATAAATGATGACATAGTGTACATATGTACTGTATTAGTTTATTATAACAATAACTCCACATCAAATGGCATTAACATTATTAACATTCTGTCTTTCTGTAGTAGACACTATTTTTTCATCTCAACATATTCCGCATCTGCTAAAGCCTCCTCTTTCTTATTTTTCTCTGTCTCATAAAGGCTGTGGATCATATTATCATATTCATATTATGCCTCTACAAACAAATGTTTGTCAAAGGGATGAGGGACATTTGAAAAAAGTCTGAAATGCATGTCAGCCAAAGCCTGTCATTAACTGTTTTATTTGCTCACAAAATTTCATTTTTGGCTACAAATAACATGAAATGGTAGTGCAAAGGAAAAGTTAGGTATCCCAGCTTTAATTTAGCGTCTTTTTTTTTGCTTCGGGAGAAGACATGGGGGAGACGTTTCTTGCAGCGCTGTTTTAATTGGGTGCACTGATCATGCCTGTGCGTGATCAGTGCATACAGTGGTCCTGTGCGTGAATATGGCCTTGGCTACATGGCCACGTTACAGCTGCGCGCTCCCGTGTTGTTAAACCGCTCACAGCTGCTGCTGCCCCAGAACCATAGACTGTATATATTGACGCTGCAGACTCCCATTCACGCGCGGGAGATGCCAGTTACTTGGCACATGCGTTAAAAGAGTTAATTTTTTAACGCGATTAATGAAAAAAATTCATTAACGCGCGTTAACGCGATAATTTTGACAGCCCTAATTAGTACCCATTTGGCCCCACCGGCAACAATAGGCTTTTGCATGTGAGAAATGTGTTGTGCCGCTACTGTACATGTGGAGTGCTTCAAGAAGTTCATACTGCGTGAGTGTGTGTATAGGGCAAAATGCATTTATATAACATGGATATCTACAGTATACTTTCTTGAAATTACCCTTGGCATCAGTCCTTGTTATTTATTTTTTTGCCTTTGGGAAGAAGAAAAGCCAATAAGATAAGATAAGATAGACTTTATTGATCTCACACAGGAGAAATTAACATGTCACATTTGGCATGGATAGAATGTGCAAAAGACAGAAGTGTGCAAAAAATATAGTCTTTTCAGGATATATTATATACAATAGTAAGTAAATGTAGGCTACTGCCATTTTGTGCAGTTTTTTTTGGATTACCAATGGGAAATTTCATGTTTCGAAAACATTTGTTCTGTATTTTAGAATAAAGAAACCATTTACGTTCTTTGGAATATAAAGGAGGAATCAATCACAATCAGTTAGCCTATCAGAACCTTTCTGGGTTGATTATATCCAGTTATTGTATCCATTATGACCTATTGACAAGCTATTTGCCCACCGGCAACTATAGTTGCTAGTCCTGAAAAATGCTAGGCAAGGTAAAAAATAAAAAATAAACAAATCCTTTCCTGAATCTAGGGGACACAACTAATAAAATTATATGCATTAACACTCTGAGAAAAAAAATGGGCACACATGGGTTAAACATTTCGAAATTATTCTAATTTTCAGAGTTTCACCAATATTTATGGTAACAAAAAGTGAGGTGCCCCAGCTATAATTTATTTGATTGCTGTGTATGAATCATACATCTGTTTTTATGTATACTGTAATATTTCCCTTCACTGTAGTGACCACTGTCTGGAGTACTACTTGATGAATTCTGGTGCATTTACAGATACGTATGTTTATTAATGGACAATGTCCTTGTCAAATAAAATAATAAAATAAAGTATTCAGATGACTACCGCTGACTTACACAGTGTACAGTAACAGTGCTCAGAGTACTGTAGCCCTGACTTAAACAGTGTACAGTAACAGTATTCAGATGACTATAGCCCTAACCTAAATAGTGTACAGTAACAGTTTTCAGATGACGGTAGCCCTGACCTAAACAGTGTACAGTAACAGTATTCAGATGACTGTAGCCCTGATCAAAAAAGCGTACAGTGACAGTATTCAGATGATGGTAGCCCTAACCTAAACAGTGTAAATTAACCGTATTCAGATGACGGTAGCCATGACCTAAACAGTGTACATTAACCGTATTCAGATTATGGTAGCCCTGACCGAAACAGTGTACATTAAAAGTAGGCAGATGACTGTATAGCCCTGATGCGTGTTTCTCCCGCAGACCGGCCGGGCCTCCTGAACGTGATGCCCATCGAGCGGCTGCAGGAGAGCGTGCTGCACTCTCTTGAGCTGCAGCTCAAACTGAACCATCCCGAATCCCTTCAGCTGTTTGCCAAACTTCTGCAAAAGATGACCGACCTGAGGCAGATAGTGACGGACCATGTGCACCTAATCCAGCTGCTCAAACAAACCGAGGTGGACATGTGCCTCCACCCTCTGCTGCAGGAGATCATGAAGGACCTGTACTAGAACTTCCACATGTTATGGGTCAGAACATGCCCTGGATCATCTAGGCTGTAATCACATCCATCAGGCTGATTTTTGTGTGTTTCCCCAAATCACAACAGCAGTCGTTTCGGAGAAAAATCAAACAGATCATTTCCCAAGACTAAAACTCAAAATGCTGAACAAAACACAGTACTGAACAAAACAAGAAAAGAAAATCCTAAATAATCACAGTACATTAAAAGAGTGAAGATACAATCATTCAATTGTTGCAACGAAACAGGACAGTTTTCTACCTGAATTTGAACATTGTCAGAGTGTAAGCCTGTCTCACATTTTCAGGAAGACTGTTCCAGATTTTTGCTGTGTGAATCTGAAATGCTGCCTCCCCCTCCCAGAACACTGAAAAACACGACAATAACGCTTTAAGAGGCCTTATTTAAAACTGCTGAACCTACTCTACTCTGCTTTGCTCTACTCTACTCTCCTCCGATTGGGAGTATTTACTAGCTCTGTTTTACCAGTACCAGGTTCTTCTTTTGTCCCTCTTAGCTTCGGGACTATCCTGGTCGAGCTGGTACTTAAGTGTTCCAAATGACAGAGATTGGTCAGTGTGCCGCTGGAAGGCATGGTTACCAAGGAATTTCCCTGGATATTGGTAGGTTGTGGGTGGGTTGTTAGGATACAGTATCAGATGTTTTAGTGCTACCAGGTAGAGTAGAGTTGGATAGAGTAGGGCTGGTGGAAACCGGGCTTATGGGGGTCAGTACTAAAAAATCCTGGAGAGAACCCTGCTGTGATATGATTCTCTGTGTGAGGACTCTTAAAGACTTTTTGTTGAGCAATGTAAAAACACCAGTCCAATCTGCAAACATTAAAAGCAGAGCCCTGTCCTGTTGTTCAATGGGGACACAGAGAAACCACAGAGACTGAGGGACCTGCATCCACAGAGGGACAGGCTGCAGACGTGTCCAGGGCTGAGGTTCAAAGAGGACCAAACCAAACCAAACCAGAGCTGAGGCTTGACGAGGACCAAACCAAACCAGGGCTGAGGCTCGAAGAGGAAGCCAGGACTTGAGAGCGATGAACAAGACATTTTGACTGAAGTAAACAAGTCATAGAACAAGTCATAGACTTCTAATTAAACAAGCGTAGAACCAGATGTATTAACAAGGGTTTACCACTGACATTTTGTGTTTTGCTCATGGTTGCATTTTAATATAGGTATTTTGATATCTATACCCACAGACTACTAAATTAAATATAATTCATCCATAAAGAAGCATCCATTAAAGCTGGGGTTCATAACTTTTTATGTAGATATTACATGTTGATCCTTGTGAGTGTTGAACAAATCTCAAAAAGCCTGTTCGAGTTAGACCTGGAAGAAGCAAGAGAGAGCTCTACTCTCTCTAGCAGCTTTCTGCTCTCTCTCTGCTCTTGCTCTCTGGGATTTTTCTTTTGTCTCTCTCTCTGGTTTGGGGTGCTGTGCCTGGGTGAATATGGCCCCTTTTCCATAGTCACGGTGCGGCACGGCACGGCCGAGTTTGGGTGCTTTTCCATTAAAAATGGTACCTCCAAGTATCTCCTCAGCGGGGGGTTTCAAAAAACATTTGAATGTTTTTATTTCGAGTTCAATACATAACTTTTAAATAACTAAGTATCAACTTGAAAAAGGAGTGAGAAAAAGTAAATAAGCCTAAACGTTTATTTTGCCCTTGTATTTTGACCAAAAATAAAACATTTTTGTATCTCCCTTGTTCATAAATTTACCAAGGTTATACAGATTCACTGACAAATATAATGTATGTAATGTAAATAGAAGAAAAAGTATATGGTAGGATAGTATATGGTCCTTTTATGCACGTGTACAGACACATCAATGAAGCAATGATACGATCACAGATTTATTCAAGACAAAAGTGCAAAACCAAGAATTTACAAAGTCCAAAGTACGTATGTCTCTTGAGACCAGGTGAAGGGACAAGTGGTCATTTATTGCTCGTTGGTAATCTCCTCACTTGTGCGAAGGGATTCTCAAACAAATAAATATACACACAACAACTTAAGTACAAGCACAAAACAGAATGGCAACACATGAAAGAGCAAGATACAGCACACTAGAGGGACATTTTAGCTTAGCTTGCTATCAATAGTTAAATGTAGCTAGCTCACAGGGTACAACAGACAGTCAAGCTTTTACACAAGTAAATACATTTCAGTGAGAGCTTTGAGCCAACAGGATATGTAGCTAACCAGTTATTTTCAGGATTACCACAGACTAATTACAAATCAAGAACTGGGCCATCTCCCTGAAAACCTCGTTCAGTGTTGAGCCGTCGAGCTGCCTTTGAATTCTTTCTTCGGCCTAAAGAGAGAAACGTGTGGACCTCGGCGAGCGACCAGGACGTTGACTTTATACTTTCTGTGCGATTCCATTTCTCGGACGTATTATAACCCATAAGAGATACTAGTAGAAATGCAAAATAAACCATGCCGTGCTGTACTGTACCGTTACTGTGGAAAAGCGGCATTTGACATGTCCCTGTACTTCATCTATGCAAACTGCCTCACTGGTTGGAAAGAAATGGGGATTTTTGTGATTGTTAAGGAGTGAAGTGGTGAAAAATCAAGGTTTTACTGTGAAATTGGACGCGGGATGTCACAGGACGGTGTTGTGGCTCTGAGCAGTGGCTGACTACAGAGTCACCGTAAAACTGTGACATTACTATTAGATGTGCCTCGTGAAGAATCATGTGTCATTAAACACAATTCAAGTTATATTTTGTTTAGACGATCATTAAAGCATTTAAAGATGATACATGTTCAATCTCTTTTATGGAAACTAAAGGTTTTATTCAAATGCAGCTGTATGTGTGTAAATAAAATATTTTGTTACTTTTTGTCCTGTCTTTGCGTTGTGTTTTGATGTACAGTATACTGGGGTTGTCCTTGTCAACGTTTTTTGGAAAGGTTCCTGTATTCCATTATAATGTGACTCCACCTGGTCCCACTTTCTGTGGTGTGTGTGTGTGTGAATGGTAGGTTGTTGGGATAGAAACACAAGAGGGAGAGCATAGGTAGAGCAGAGGGAGACCAGGGAGAGACTACAGAGATCATGAGTCTCTCGGGTCTAGACCCTGGTGCTGGAGTCTCTTAGGTTTTGACCATGGCCGATAACATGATGATTTTCCACTGAAATGTTGGAAAGAGAGCAGAGGAGGGTTGCTGCATAAACACCAGCTTGAAGTAAGATTGAGAAGATCTGTTTAAATGCAGCTGTGGTGTGATGATCTCAGGTGTGGAGCAGAGGGAGGACCATGTCTCTGTATCTTCATGTCTGAATTCAGCTGATTTAGAGCAGTCAATTTCATATGTTTGTTTGTCAAATGTCTGTTGTTTTCTTTAGATACAAAAGGATCTTGCTCTATGTTTTGTTCAGTAGTCGGCTGTGAAATTGATCCTGGTTTCTTTTTCAAAATTATGAAAATGTTGATAATAATAATGCTTGGGTTTTATACAGCACTTTTCAGGACTCTCAATGTCGTTTCTCAGCATTATTCACTCACTCCAAACACAGTGGTTAGAAACACCGAGGACCTGGTGCACACTGACAGAAACAAAGTAACCAATCTCTGTCATCAGCCCCTCCCACAAACAACCAACCATTCTCACACACACGCACGCGCACACACCCACACACACACACACACACACACACACACACACACACACACACACACACACACACACACACACAGGACTCAGCAGGGCAAAAAGTACATCTCGCATCTCCTTTCAATCCAAATTGAAAAGGAGAGAGTAAAATTAAACTTCATTTTTGAAAGAATTTTATTTGTATAGCACATTTCATAACTCATAAGTGCTGAACAAAACAAGAAAGGAAGGAATTTAGGAAAAACTGAAGTTGTAAATATTGACTTAAATATTACTCAAATGTGTATGTATGTATGTATGCGTGTGTGTATGTGTGCGTGTGTCTGTGTGTGTGTATGTGTGTAAAAAGAAATCACGAGAAATTACTCACTAAAATAGATAAATACATAGAATACACATGTGGAAAGCTTGTGGGATCAAACAGATTGAAATATTATATGATTTGTTGCTTATAGCTGTTGGAAATATATATGGAAATATATACTTGCACTTCGTCCAAGCCCTTTCCAGACGGTATGTTGTGCATTATTTTTTTTGTACATGACTGCCTCTAATGGCTATAGACTCTCATACATCGATATGAGTCGATAACCCGCACGAGGCCAACAGCTCTCAGCCCACGGATCTATTATAATATAGTCTCAGCTGGATTCCTTCAGTCAGAGAAAGGAGTATATTACAGTGACGGTCACAAGGCGCATCCTGCTGTTCGCTTCTGGTACTGCAGCAGATTCATGCGAGGGTTGTTCTATAGCTAGTAATTCCCTATCCAGTTATTATAATAGATCCATGTTCCTGATATGCAGCGTGAAGATTTTGTTGCGATTGATTCTATTGGTTGGTTCAGAATTCAAACCAATCAAATCATCGAGGGACCTAAACACACCCTTTTTGAGATTTCTGACATGTATATGGATGTATTATAAGATCTGGATAGGATATTACCTGCTTGGAGCTGAAGGACCCACGTGCTCAGGGGATTCTCGCGGTACTGCAAACTAAACGAGACTAAATTCACGCGGGCTGTCCAGAAATGTTCCCCAGTAAACTCACTGTAAACTAAAACAGCTCGACCTCAGCTGATAGAGCACCTACAGCTTTCACAAAGGTTGGATTTTGAGGGGATTTCAGTGTTCCCTGTGAATCCTTTCTTTCTTCTTAAATCCTTCGTTTTTTTTAAATCTTCTAACTCCGCTCTGATCACCAGCGCTGATTGGTCAGAGCGCGGCTGAACCCCTCTGTGCTCGTGCATGAGAGCCAGACACGCAACATTTCATGGGAGCTCGTCCACTGCGCAAAACCGGGAGGACCAGACGATGCCAGGCGTTTGTTAAGAATTTGAACAGAAATGTGTCCACAGTCCACTGATGGAACCACATGTTTATTTACTTTCATTTGTACAGAAAAATAAAGTAATTACCAGTTCATGCAAAGCTTTAGCGCGTCACAAATAAAATCTACTGAACAAACGAGAGAACAATAAACACAGAAAAGAAAATATTAATATTATACACAAAGGAAACTCCTGAGATGAAGTGCACACAGATACAATACACATTTAGTTAAGAAGCAACATAAGAAACTGGAAACTGCCCAGCTGTGGTCCAGCAGTGGTCCAGGTGTAGTCCAGGTGTGGTCCATGTTTAGTCCAGTTGAGGTCCAGGACTGACCCAGGTGTAGTCCTGGTGGATCTCAAACTAATGAAACGTATGATTGTACACATTCCTAGAATTCGATTTGGATCGACAGTCAATGATTCATTATTCCAGTCAACTACAAAGATGGCTGACAGTGTTTTAGTATGATTCACAGCCTGTAAGTGACCACAGCAGGGGCTGATGTAAAGGAGACATAACAGGCTTCTGTTTGTGCGTTTTGAGCCTCATTTCCTCTATGCAAAAACACTGGTGTCAAATCCACTGCATTTAATCCACCTCACTTCTCATCGTGTTTGTGTGGGTGAACTCTGACCTTAGAGTTTGAGCTGTAGCAAACCCTGCTCTTTCCTGTAGGATGTACAAATTATTTTGGAAAATGTTTTTATTTCTCCATGTGGATGAGAAACTTGCTGTAGTCCATTTTAATGTGATTCTCTCTGGTCTTTTTTCCTGTTTTCTCTCTACTGTCTCTCTGGTCTCTCTCGGTTCTCTCTTCCTTCTATCTCAATCTGGTCTCTTTATGCTCTCTCTGCTATCTATCTAGTCTCTCTCTCTGGTCTTTCTCTGGTCTTGGATGTGCACCGTGCTGTGATTTCAGAGCTCCATTGCATATCCGGTTAATGACTGCTCAACGCTGAATCTTCCTCATAACACAGAATCAGGCAAGGAGCATGTTAATAGCATTAGATTATCATGCTATTAGCACTAGATTATTATGTTATTAGCGTTAGATAACTATGTTAATAGAATTAGATTAGCATGTTATGTCCCCTTAAAGAAAGCACAGAAATGGACTGGTGTTGAATACAGATACAATGACCATATTTATATTCAGATTAGCATTGTGCAACAGTCATGACAGGATGGTATTGCACATACTTGTCTCAATGTCTTCGATGAGATAGTCTAAAGTCTATTTTATCTTATGAGCACAGTCAACACACAATAGATCTACATACAGACGGGGAACAGGAGATTACCACTCACAGTAACAGACCTGAGGTCACGCATGCATCCACCTGCTTTTAGAGAACACAGATTAACACAGTTTATAGAACAGAGATGAGCACATATCATACAGATTATACAGACTGCAGAGAGGGCCGGGCATCCATGGAAGTTACTGCATAAGGTCAGAGAGGATGTGACTGCATAAGGACAGAGGAGGAGGTGACTGCATGATGGAGTGAGGTCAGAGAGGAAGTGACTGCATGAGGACAGAGAGGAGGTGACTGCATGAGGACAGAGGAGGTGACTGCATGAGGTCAGGTCTGTATCCACAAACATGAAGCTACGACATCGAGAGAGATGCAGTCAAACACACAACACTGATAGAAAGTTCTTTTGCTCCAAAAAGACACATCGATCCATGCAAACAGGACGAATACACACATACGCACACACACACAAGATATCCAAATGGTGCTACTGGCTTTATCTCCGTTAAGTTTAATTTTTGTTGTCTTAAAATCCCTTTTTTATAGACATAGAATTGTTAAATAGATATCTTTCTATTATCATAATGAGATCTCTTAAAAATAAATGTGTATATTTCAGCTAGACTCTCTCAGAAGGCGCACAGTCTGGCATCAGAAACAGTGGCACCAGAACTGTTTCACTGGGAGCTATCAGGAATAATAATAGTTTAGATGGATCCATTGGATAAATATAGGATTGATACAATTAGAGGCAAATACTGTACTGAAAACCATTACCACAAAAGTTACACTGTTCACCTTTTGGGCAGATTCTGCAGGATTCTGGCTTAAATGTTGCCCTTCAAATGGCTGGGTAGCCTTAACATCACTTGAATGATGGCGCGTGTGTCTCCCCTGTTTGAACCCTCTTCTATCATTTAAGATCACATGTATACAGTGGTCCCCAGTTTAGCGCGCGGAGACAGACTCTGAGTGGTGTGTAGCTAATACGATAGAACATGTGTTTTGATTGTGTCATCTCAAGATGGGTATTGCAGCTTTACTGAGTCCTGGATCTACAGCCCGAGTCCTGGATCTCGAGCCTCACTCCTGGATTGATAGCCCATATATGTCCATGGCAGTGGATCCCTCCCTCAATTTGGGCCTCCTAGAGGTTTCCCACTTTTTTTCCTCACTGGAATTATAAAGATGTTCCATGCCAATGCCGATAAGGACAGTGGTGATGATCTAGGTCCTAAGACACTCGACATTCAAAGACATGCATGGACATGTTGGTTGTGTGCAAATAGGTAAAATAATAAATAAATAAATACATTTCAAATCTGTCTTTTAGGAAATGTCTCTATAATTTTTTTTGTGTGAGGTCCACTTTAGTGAGACAAGACGACCCAGACAGTGACTGTTCTGTTTAGAATTAGGTATGACATCGGGTCTAATTCAATTGACAAGTAAATGCAATCTCACATCAGTGCCGTATACACCATGTTGAGACACAGTCAAAAACAAATGTTAGTTTATAGGACTTAAGTCAACAGCTGGATTCTAGAGGTTTACAAGGTGCAGCCTGTCTGTATTGGTGGAACTGAAGTTGGCTGGATGGCACGGTAAACTCAGGGACTTCTGTGCGTTAGCCACACAGGGCCACATGACCTGACAGAGAGGGCCGCTATTGGCTTTAGTTTGGACATGCCTGTTTTCGCCTATCTTTCTGTATAACAGATTGTTGGTATAAAAATAAAACAATTTTATAGGGTGTGATTTCTTCAAGGCACAATATTAATGTTAATATATATATATTCTCCATTATGTTTCTAATGTTTTGACTAGTAAATACTAGCAAATACTAGTCAAATCTAGTTTACTAGTACTAGTAAAACTAGTATGGAGTTTTTTTCTGGTTTCTTTTATTTGTATGTATATTTTTTTAAATGTAATTTAGCTGTGATACAATTATTATTATCAACATTCTATTTATCATTATTCCTATGTGTTTTTATGTTTTCTTGTCGTATTCTCTTATGTTATGTATGTGTATATACTGTTTGTCAGCCACCAATTGTGAGAGTCCTTCCACTTAAAGATGAGCAATGTCTGTAAATATCATCATAGGTAATTCTCATTTATGAGAGACAAAATTAGAAAATTATGCTCAAGGAAGTTATTTGCAAATTATGGAAAATAGGTTTTGCCAACAGATAAACATGACTTCTGTCAGTCTTAGACCTGTAACTTCTCTTTTAAGAGGCTCCTCTGTCCTCCACTTGGTGTCTGTTTTAATAGCACTTGTTGGAACTCATCTGCATAAAAGACACATGTCATCTCTCAGAGGGAGAGAGAAGACCAAGGAGAAGGTGAGAGAACCCTGTTTACGCGCGCGCACACGCACACACACCAGATATCTCTCATCTTTTTCAGTGGGAGGACTTCAAAATAATTTTAGCTTTGGCCTGAAACTGAATAGTAGTATCAATACTTCTCTGTGGTTCTGTGGCACAAAGAAAAGGTTATAGCGAAACAGTCAAAGGAGTACCCAGCCCGATATTGACAGTTTTACCATTAACAACAACTATAATCCTGCAGTTTGTGCCTCTGAGCAGGGGTGAGATCACGGATGCTTCCTATTGTCCATCTTGTCCACTGTTACCAACACCAAGATGAGTGAGACGCAAGGAGTACAGTACACTCAACACACAGCAGGGGGCGTCATCTCAGACTGCTTCAGATCTTGAGTCTGTCCAAGTCCCGGAGCGGGTTCAGTCAGAGAAAAGGCTGGCGAAGGACTTCCGTAGGTTGCGGATGGTCTCTGCCTTGGCCTCCTCTTGCGGACCATCGCCACTGGAGCCGGAGACACTGCGGAAGAACGTGGAGTCACTGATGGCGTTGAAGGCGTTGGTCAGCGACTGAGATTTACTGAAAAGACAAGAGAAACAGCAGTGAGGTTAGAGCAGCAATAAAGCTGTATTTAACCTGCGTAGGAACTAGGGGTGGGAATTGGCAAAAATTTGACGATTCGATAGTATTGCAATATTTGGGTCACTATTCAATTTTATTGTGATTCTTAACATTTTTGCGATGCAGCAATTTTTGCCATGCAGCATTTATTGCAATGCAGTAAGTACTGAAATTCAATTCTGCAACACATTTATTCTGAGACATTAGGAGGTTAGTGAAAAAACTTTATACATGAACATTCAGGACACAAGACATATTCTCTGACTGGGGCTATATCCACACGAAGACAAAACGCTTATAATTTCAGAAACTTTTTCTGTAAACACGGAGTTAGCTCAGTAAATGTGTGCGTCCATATGAATGTAGTCAATACGCCTGAAAACGCTGTGAAACTATGCCAGACCTGTTGGTGGCGCTGTGACGCAATGACGGGATCAAGCCCAAACTTCCGTGGGCATGCGCGGAATTTTGTAAACAGACAACATGGCGAGTGGGCGAGCTGGTACTACATTAGTATGGACGGACGATGAGGTTGAACTGTTGCTTCGGGTCACACTGGATTACAAAACCAACAAGCTACATTGTTGTTGTCATTATTTTCTGAGTGCGGCGCATGCGTGCTTTAACAAGAGGCGGGGCGATGACGCAAGCGTCTCAGATACATTGCGGAGAGGCAGTAACCACGGAGCGGCATATACGGAGTTTTGAAATCTTTCCACTCTGGGACCTACTTTCAAAAATGTTCGTTTACACCCCCCCAAAACGCCGGCCTCGTATGGACGATACACTGGATTGATAAAGTATTTTTGCGTTTAGGCCTGAGCTTGACTTCGTGTGGACAGGGCCTGGGTGACATCTAAAATGTATGGTGAGTTTCCCAGCAAATATCTTATTTTTCTATTATATTATTCAAATACAATAGCCCCAACTAAATTGGCAAGAGCTCCACTAACTTTATCAATTGATTAGGATTATACAAGACATTATACAACCTGACAAAAACATGTACGTGATATGGTTGATGTCATGGTGTGGATTTTGATTTTTTATTTAGCTTTTATTTTGAAATAAGTTCTGTGGTTTTGTTTCAGTTTGACTTCCAGTCCTTGTCTTGATTGTGTACCCCGCCCTGATGTGTTTCACCTGTGTCTGTGTCTATATGTACCCTTTGCTTCTCTCCCCCTGTTGCTGCTTCATTGTTTTGTCATGTTCTGTCCTGGTTACTTTGGATTTCTGGAGTTTGTTTTTTTTGCCTTGGACTTTGTTTTATTAAAAGCTTTATTTTGGCACTCCTGCATTTGAGTCCTCACTCAGCTCACCCCGTGACAGTTGAATCGACAACAACAAATATTAGATTTTATAGAATACCATTCAAGCAATGTCTAATAGTGTCATTGCAAATAATGAAATAATTCAAAAACTAACCACAACTACAACAGTAAAAAGTATAAAAAATAAAGTATGAATATAGGTGTATATCAGGCATGTCCAAACTTCCGCCTGCAGGCCAATTGCGGCCCTCCCCATCATAAGGAGAGGTTCACAGTGTCATCCAGCCAACTTCAGCTCCTCCAATATAGGCATGTTGTAACTCGTTAAGTAAACACTTGTCATTTGAAATCTGTTTTGTTGGCCCAGGGGATATTTCTGGTGAACTAAGATGGTCCTCTAACTGAAAACCTCTAATGTATATAATTCACCCCATAACAATAATTTCATAATATGCATTTAATGCATGTCAATTTTGTAATATACCACAAATCTAATGAGAAACAGTAAAGAAACTTGCTAAAACTCACATTAAAACAAGATTCAAGTAATAACCTGGACATAGTCTAGCCTGATTTGTACTTAAAGTAGTACTAGAATTTAATATGCTGCTATCCAGACTATATAACTACAATATGTGTTTGTAATATTTCGGGTGTTCATTTTGACATGTTCAGATGAATTATGTTTAAAAAAAAGGCTTTAAAGTGGCACCTTTTCACTTCCGCATAGAAACGCTAGGGGGCGCCAAAATGGCGGCGATGACGTAGGAGAATGACCTCTCACAGCAGCGGACAGCAGTCTTGGCTGGAATCTGTAGGAGGTTTCACTGTCATCTGAACAAGGTACGTATAAACATATTTTCATCAGTTTTGTACATAACAGTGTGCAACTCTTTTAACCTTTTAGCCTTATATGTGAGATTAAAGCTAATTAGTTTTGGGCCAGTTAGCTACTTGATATCAAGATATCCTAAAACATGCTTACAAGGCTAATATTAGTTTTTACATTATGCCAGTCTCACTTTGGTTACCTTAGATTTATTTACCACAATGTACATTGTAATATTCAAAAATGCTAATCAAAATAACTTGAATTAAATCAATATTTTACTTTTATGAACAAAAAGCTGCAGAAGTTGAAAACATAGACTACATGTGATGCAATCATTGATAAAAATGCTAATTAAACCGTAAATAGGTGTTAGCATTTATGGATATTACAATGTACATTGTGGTAAATAAATCTAAGGCAACCACAGTGAGACTGGCATAATGTAAATACGAAAATTAGCCTCGTAAGCATGTTTTATGATATCAAGTAGAGTTAGCTAACTTGGCCAACGCTAATTAGCTTGAATCTCTCATATAAGGCTAAAAGGTTAAAAGAGTTGCACACTATTATGTACAAAACTGATGAAAATATGTTTATACCTTGTTCACATGACAGTGAAACCTCCTACAGATTCCAGCCAAGACTGCTGTCCGCTGCTGTGAGATGTCATTCTCCTACGTCATCGCCGCCATTTTGGCTCCCCCTAGCGTTTGTTAAAAGGTGCCACTTCAAAGCCGTTTTTTAAACATAATTCATCTGAACATGTCAAAATTAACAACCGAAATATTACAAACACATATTGTAGTTATATATTCTGGATAGCAGCATATTAAATTCTAGTACTACCTTAACCGTATCTTTGTTACCATGAGAACCCAGCGGAGCAGGGTCCTGATTTAGCAGGCCGCAGCAAGTGCCTGTAAATAAACACGGAACTTCCTTTAACTGGATTTCATTCTCTGGTCTCTCTCTGGTCACTCTCTGAATGGTAAGAGCTTTAAAGTTTAAAGTCCCGGAATATCCCCAAACATAAACTAATCCTGAACCTCAGAAGACACACTGCAAGTTACAACCACATGCTCACAAATACAAACACCAAAATAATTTCAAACGGCGTCACATACTTGTTTGACTTACTTGAGCAGAGGATGGGTCTTCTGCTGCTGCTGCTCTTCCTCTGGAGCCTCAGTAGAGGGCGGCTCTTCCCCGACTATCTCTGTGCTCGCCTGGATATCTGTCGGTTCTTCTGGGGCTGCAGCGTGAGAGGGCACGCTAGCCGGGGGACTGGCCGGGGCTGGAGTGCTCTCCGTCGGCTCTGGTTGCGGTTTGGTCGAGACTCGGGGAGGAGGGGGAGTCTGAGGCTTCGGCTGCAGCTGAGGCTTGGAGTTCCTGCGCATAGGTGGGATGGGTTTGGTTGGAGGAGTAGGCTTTGGAGGGAGTTCTTTGGGTTTCCCAGGCATGGATGGGGAGCCCAGGGACTGTTGCTTGGGCTGCTCGGTTGTGGGGGGAGAGAACGGTGAGGGCTCCTGAGCCTTGATGATGCTGGAAGGTTCCACCGCTGATTCTGGTGGAGCCGGAGCAACAGCAGCAGCAGCAGGTTTAGGAGGAGTGGTAGAATCTGTAGAAGCAGGTTTGGACTTTGGGGGTGATGCTGGTGTTGCTTTGGCTGGGGATGCTGGCGTGGGCTTGGCAGTGGTGGAGCTAGGTGGGTCTGGGGCAGGTCTGGTCACAGAAGGAGCCCTGGTCATGGGAGGAGGTCGCGGGACAGGAGGCTTGGTGACTGAGGTTGACTTCTGCACGGGTTTGTGTGCCTGCGTGGGTTTGTGGGCGACAGGTTTGGAAGCAGACTTTGGATCAGCTCCTCTCGGAGACTCAGAGGACTGGTCTACGCTTTGGGATTTGACTGGTGCACCTGAAGAAAGCAGAGTGAAGAATCGCTGTTCCCAAGTGTAAATATGTGAGAGTGTGAAAAGGTAAAACAGGCAGAACACAATCGTCAGAAGCGCAACATGATGCACAAGTTGTTTTTTGAGCCAAATCATAAGGAGGTGTTTGATATTACTAGCATTTCACAACCACCAAGATCCTGTTTGGAGAAGTGACCAGAGAGAGGCCAGAGAAAGAAGAGAGAGAGAGACCAAGTCTCTCTGAGTGATTAGTCTTCTGAACTAATCACTAATCATCACAAGCTTTCTTCTGACTTTAAAAAGGTACCTGTCTTGTTATACAAGCGGTTATATGATGTTATTGGAGTATACACATGGTGCATGAGAAGCACGCTGAACAAAAATCACAATTGCACAAAAAAATGATACTCACTAAAATATGTTCAAAAGTTTGTTTTGCATTAATAAATGCAAAACAAAGCAGCAACAGAAAAGGATTAATAATGTCTGCACATTTTCGATAATTAAGGATCCTGGTAATTGAGAAACAAATCTGAATAAATCTCTGGACAGATTTCAAGTTTGAATTAGAACAACCAACAGGGAGAAGCAGGGCAACAGTTACGTCTCACCTATCATGCCCAGTATTAGTTGCTTTTTGTGCTTAAATACAAATGCAAATCAGAGAATTCAAGCACATGCAGAAACATGCAGCGAGCAGAGGAAACGCTGAGGGACGAGTTTCCAGCGAGAGATTACAGACTGAAAGGTACATAGAATCAAGAGCATAAGTCAATAAGATGTCAACAATTTGGCCCAGAAGATCTTCTTTCTACGGAAACTAAGGAAAGGGGGGCTCTAAATAAGATGCTCTGCTCTGAAAGAGGACTGTGAGCTGTTTGAGGTTCTTTATGAATAAAACCAAGCTCCTCAAAATATCAATGACTCTTCTAGCCCCTGAAAAAGCCATGTTCCAGCTTCTTATCTCTGGCAGAAGATATCAGTGGCCGCGCTGCAGGACATCGCACTATGTTAACAGCTTTCCACAAGCTGTTATCAGTCTAAACAAAGCACTTTAATGATCTCTGAAACTGTTTTTGTTGATTGATTTCACAGTGACAATAGTTTTGTGAACTTACAGTATTAGCTTGTGGCGGCACGGTGGCTGAAGGATAGCACTCTCGCCTCTCAGCAAGAAGGTCCTTGGTTCGAATCCTGGCCGGACAAGGGCCTTTCTGAGTGGAGTTTGCATGTTCTCCCCATGTCTGCGTAGGTTTCCCCTACCACTAAAAATATGTACAATAGGTCTGGCATGCGCCTCCTGTTCGGCGACCCCGCTCCCATCTCTGTGTGGAGTGAGAGGACAAGTGCCCAAAAATAACAATTGTAAACCGCTTTGTGACTCTGGTCTGTGAAAGGCGGTATATAAATAAAGCTTACTTACTTACTTTTATTGCTGTACTTTTAGCTTGTATGTATGTACTTATGCACATGTATTCCAATGTGGTTATACTGCAAGTGGAAAATAAAATTAAAGCCGCAAGTGGCGTCAAACGGCCCTCGCCACACCGCGCGACTCCCCGCACTGCAGGACTCCCACTTCCCGCACCGCGCGACTCCCCGCATCGCAGCACCACGCCGCATCATGCCGCCCCGCACCACGCCGCCCCGCACCACGCCGCCCCGCACCACGCCGCCCCGCACCACGCCGCACCACGCCGCCCCACACCACGCCGCCCCCCACCACGCTGGCCTGCACCAAGCCGTGCTGCACCGCGCCACGCCGCACCGCGCCACAACGTTAATTTTTCCATTTTGCAGTGAAAATTATGGGCTTCCTGTTTGTCAGAAGGCGGGGCCATAATAACTTTTTTTTCCATGGGAGTTTTCGGAGGTCAAGTTTGTCGTAGAGCCATGACATTCGGTACACATGTTCCTCAAGTCAAGACATGAAGAAAATGTTATTATGGCCCCGCCCTCTGACAAACAGGAAGCCCATAAATTCCACTGCAAAATGGAAAAATGAAAATCACTCCACATCATCTCAACACATGTACCTTGAAAATAACGTTGGCGATTTTTCATCAGTGAAAAGTTGTTCGAACAGGGGAGCGGCAAAATGTGACCATTTTGGCCGTTTTGGACCATATTCAATTTTCTCCCATTTGCACATACAAAGTCTGATTTGCACAAAACTTTAATACATTGTTCAACTCTAGGGTCTAGTTCAATTGAAAGTGAAATAAAATAACTTGGCTCATCAGCGCCCCCTACAGATGGGGTCAAAGTGTTCAGAGTTTTGCATACTAAAAACTCTGAAATAGTCTGTAGGGGGCGTTAATGAGTCAAGCTCAATTATTTGACTTTCAAATGACCTACACCCTAGAGTTGAACCATGGATTCGAGTTTTGTTTAAATGTGCAAACGGGAGCAAATAGAATGTTGTCAAAAACGGCCAATAAAAACTCACATTTTGCCGCTCCGCTGCTCAAACAACGTTTCACTGATCAAAAATCCCTTTAGTCACTTTGATGGTACATGTGTTGAGATGATGTGGAGCGATTTAGAGGCGAATCGATGAAACGGCCGAGGAGGAGAAGATTTCCAACCGACATTGCTGTTCATTTTTCCATTTTGCAGTGAAATTCATGGGCTTCCTGTTTGTCAGAGGGCGGGGCCATAATAACTTTTTTTTTTGTCCTGACTTGAGGAACAATTTAAAGCGTTTGAGTTTACGCACACAACCGTCATGTTGTAGTGAGTGATGGGGCGCTGACGCGTCCGTCACGCACCGCCACCCCTTGTATTCACCATTGTGAAAGTAATAGGCCCTTACCCAGTTCGAGGCTCGGGCCTAATAAGAAAAAAATAAGGAATTTTTTTTGACGTCTCTAGAGCAAAAACAATATAGGTTTCAATGGCACGTGATACATCATTCTAAAGCGTTTGAGTTTACGCACGTAACTGTCACGATGTGGTGAGTGACGGGCGCTGATGCGTCCGTCATGCACCGCCACCATTTGCATTCATCATTGTGAAAGCAATAGGCCCTTACCCCGTTCGGGGCTCGGGCCTAATTAATATGAATGCAAGAAGAGCTAGACCTTCTGACAAATGGAGACACCAACTTGCCTGACTACAGAATAATCTGACAACAGAATTGTCTGACAACAGAATTGTCTGACGACAGAATTCTACTAATGGTGCTATGTTTCTGTTGGTTAATCAGTAAAATTGTGCTTCTTATTAGAAGACTGATATAATCTCTGTACAATGATTGTGTTAAAGTGTGAAATTGGCTGAGATGCTGTTCAAACTTTGTCAGTCCAAGCATTATAGACTTCCTACAACTACTGTACGTGGTAATCAGTGGTAATCAGTTGTAGATAGCTGTACATTATTGTCCCCGTAGGAAGTTGTCTTCTGCATTTGACTCATCCTCGAATGCCGCTCGGGCCTCTGTCAGGAGCAGAGGTCGCCGCAGTAGTGCCCGGGGCCCAGCCTCAGATGTTGATGCTCTTTGGACCAGACCATTTTATATTTAATTATTGCTTTGTCATTATGCTAAAGTTGGAGACTTCAGATTTGCTTTCTTACTATGCTAAAGCTAGATATTTTGTTGTGTGCTCCTCATTTCAACTGTTCTGTAACCAGCAATGCAACACTGACATTTGCCGACTGTGGGGATTTTAGTGTCCCTTGTCATCCTGAACTTTTTTTCTTCCTAAATCCTTTGGTTTTCTTTTAATCCACACTTTACTGCCACAAACTCGGCTGTTTTCCTTCCCGCTCTGACTCTGCTCTAATCAGCAGCGCTGATTGGTCACAGCGCGGCCGAGCCCCTCTGTGCACGTGCATGAGAGCCACACACGTGTATCTGGTGGGATCATCGGCGCCATCTTGGATCACCGGGGCTGAATTCATACACAAGCTGAATTAATGAGCTCAAGTTTTCAATTAAATTAAATACAACTTGTATGTAGTAATACGCATTTTTATAAACTCATTAAAAATAAATTGGGTATAGATTCTAAAAAATAATTTTAGTAGTGTTTAGGAGTGTAAGTATGGATCATAGACTTCAAAGAACACCAATAAAATCCTAACCCATAAAAAAGCAGCTTAAAAAAATATGACTCCAACAGTTTTTGTATGTAAATATATGAGGTGGGTCACAATAACAATCAAATGATTAAGTCCATGGGTTTGTGTCACATTTGAGAGCTCATTGTGTTCAAATAAACAGTGTTTGTCTTGGAAACTCGTCCTCTGCATCAGTTTGAGAGTCTTACATTTGGAAACTTTCATAAATAATCGGCTGCTTGAACTCAACGCACAGAAACCAAAGGAAAAAAGTGTTTGTACAAAAACATGAAATAAAAAAGTCACTTCATATTTGCCTGGAAACATACAGGTTTGGATCCACACAGGGTTCAAAGCCAAATACACACAACTGTCAAGCTGCAAACACAAGGAACAGGATCTGGTTTGAGAAGTTTTGTTCACACCTTGGCTGAAAAGTTGAGGGCAAATGTCTCTCTCTGGTCTTTTTTCGGTCTTTAGTCGGTCTCTGGTCTGTCTCTCTCTGGTCTCGCTCTCTGGTCTTTCTTTCTGGTCTCTCTCTTCTATCCCTGGTTTCTCGCTGGTGTCTCTCTGGTCTCTCTCTGGTTTCTCCTGGGTTTCTCTCTGGTCTCTCTCTGGTCCCTCTGGTGTATCTCTCTGGTCCCTAACTGGTCTCTCGCTGGCCTCTCTATGGTCTCTCTGACCACACCAAGATTAAAGGTCCATGCAAAGTAGAGCTGTACCAGTCTTGCAGTTATTATTTATTCATTTATTATTATTTATTCATATATTTCCTTCCACATTAAGGCCCTAACAGGCAAAAGTCAACAAAAGCCATTCTAATAACACTCCTCATGGTTTAATCTCAGGGAAACCGAAGCTATACTCGGCTGTAGGCACATCTTTCCCATTTCTTAACAACAAAACTGTAACAACCTTGAGAGCATGCGATTATCACAGTCATGCAAAATGAATGGAATAGTCCCCTGAAGAACAGAGAGCATGCAGCCACAGTCATTGGTCGACAATGGATTTGATTGTTTCCAGTGAGTTGGTTCAGTTTTACAGGCACAAGAACAGGTTCATATTAGTCCTGGGAGCGAATGTTACCGTGGGAACAGGTACAAATGTAAGGCATGTGATTAGGCAGTGATTTCTTGTAACAGTTATCTTGTCTAAAAGTCATGTTTTATGCCTGGATTAATTTGTATAAGAACTATAATCTACCTTTCAGAGCCCCCTGGAGGCTTAAAGGAGAGACAGTCATGAGGAGGGAGGAACACAAATTTTTATTTCAGTCACTGGTCTCTCTCTGATCTCTCTCTGGTCTTTCTCTCTGTTCGTTCTCTTTGTCTTCCATCTTTCTCTCTTAAGTCTATCTGGTCTCGCTGGTTTCTCTCTCTGGTCTCTCTCATCTCTCTTTGGACTCGGTGACTAATATGCAAATGTGTGATGGTGATTGGCGTCTGGTTAGAGCTGTGTTTTGCATAATACAAAACTTTTCAATATTCACAAGTTTCACAGGAATGTAGCAGGACAGAATTGTTGAGACATTTGAGTTCTCACAGAGGCGCAGTACTCAGACCTTGGGGCTGGGGGCGCTGTGTTTGGGTCCTGATGGGGTCAGACACGCCTTCTTTGGGAGCAGCACTCTGCGTTTTGGAAAAAAAGAGAACGATATGAGTAGTGATGTTTATATTCAAACACAGAAGTTAGAGAGAGGAGAGAGAGGGGAGGGTAGAGGGAGGAGAGAGGAGAGAAAAGAAAATTGCGCAGAAAACCGTGTATATTTTGGGTGTATATTCCAAATAGGCACGAACCAACGCCGGATTTATGAACGTGTGAGATACACACAGAACTGAGCGTACGCACAGCGGCTGTTGATAAATGCCGCGGCTGAAAACGGACGTATTTATGAAAGTCACGCCTAGAAATATGCAGCAGCACTCCCCGTTTTTACGACAATTGAGAGGAAACGGCACAACAGCCAAAACTTCACGGAGAAGACCAATATGAACACAATGGGAAAAAAATTAAGTCTTACTATTTGGAAGCCTCAAAAGAGGCATCAAGGGGCTCAAAAAAGAAAATATGGAAAGAGATGACAGCGTCTGTAAACAGCGTGGGGCCTGTAACACGCACTCCTGAAGTGGTGAGTTAGTTCATGTTTAAAGAAATATACGCTATATTATGTCAAACAGTTGACAGATATGTTGGGCTAATAGTTAGAATTTATTAGCTCATTGAGTGCCAGCCTTGTTTAAACAGCTTGGGTCTAGAATGCCAGCCATTATGTCAATTTTTCCTGATATTTGCAAAGCCACAGCATATTCTGTGTTACTGTCATAATCACATGCTATGACACAAACTTTGAATAAATCACAGATCATGATGAGGAGCCTATTTTGTTTCAATGATTTTAAATCTGACTTCTATGTGTATTATTTTGATCTGTATGTTTTTAAAATGTGAAGCTCTTTGTAATCCTGGACAGTGAAAGGCTCTATACAAATACACTTTACGCGAAAGGGATGTGTGACCCAGCTATTGCTATGGCAGGCTCTGCGCTCCGTAATTACGCACGGCAATTTGTATTCCTCACATCTGGTAAAGCAATGTATGTTTTCATTAGATTTGTGTAAGCCTCACACAGACACACACCCCATTAATGCATGGACCGATGGACTATGGTATTGCTCACTCCAAATGTCTCACTGCCCTGTCCACCCGCGCGCACTCTTGGGAGTGCATCCACAGCAGGTGCCATGAGAGGTCGCGCCCCATAACTCTTCAAATGCTGTCATTCAGAAGTCTTGGCGCCAGAGTTTCTCTGTAAAATCTGGGCCGCATACGCTCTTGCAAGTGTACAGCGCTTCAGTGCATTCACAAGACGCTGCAGACGCTTCATTGATGAGAGCCACCGCCGCACAATATGAATTCACTCATTCATTCTTTATTTATTCACTTCTACAATCCAAGAGAGATTTTTATAATTTATCAAAACATTTCTGCAAATTTTCTGTAAATAGTGTAGCGTATATTTATTTTTACATATCCATGAACATTTATTATTTATTTATTTACGGATTTAATTTCAGGAGAGATGAGTGCTGCAGTGGGTCTAGAGTCTAGACACTAGGGAAAAAAGTGTATATATAATATAGCGTATATGTCTTTTTTTTTTTTTATGTGAATAAACTCAAAAGTGCGTGCTTTATGCTGCTTCTTAGCCGACTTCCTGCTGACCTGTCGCAAAAAAACAGGGCGTGGAACAGGCAGTTTCTGAATATTTATAGGCGTGACTTTCATAAATACGCTGGTTTTGAGCGCGGCATTTATCAACAGCCGCAGGTGCGTACACTCAGATCTGTGCGTATCTCACACGTTCATAAATGCCACGTCAGATCTTGTGTATCTGGGATCTACACCCAAAATGTACACCTTTTTCGAAAATGTCATCTTCCTCTCTGAAACTGAATAAATAAAAGCGCCTGAGCCGGGCCCGTGTCCGAGGTAATTATACGGTCATCGGCCTGAAGCCCGTTCCTCGGGCTGTTGGGCCCCTCGGGCCTAGGGCTCAAGTGTAGGGCCCTAGAACTCATGGCTCAGAGCCTGATATATGCGGAGGTCATGGACTAGAATATTGAACATATATTGAACATATCTACAGTACTTGTAGGGGGATCAAAGGCGCTCTGACAGGAAGCCCCCTTTTGATCTCCCCATCTAAAACACCCAGAACCAACGACGGAGCCACCAAGTCTACGACACAACAGCTCTCTCTGTGGGATTGTCAGCCATTGTCTTCTATGTTTCCATCTAAAGATAGGTCTCTGAATTAAATCTTGCAGAAGCACTTTGTTCCTATATGCACATTGAGTTCAGTAGTTTTATTTTGAAGAGAAGGCAATATGTATAATTTCTTCAAAAACAGGAAATTAAAACAAATGTGACAGGAGCACTTTGTTCCTACTTGCAAAACTCCTCTTTGAGGGTAAATTAAAAAAACAGCTTTGGAAATTGGCATGGTTTTTGGGTTTTTGGCAGTAGTTTTTGGAGGGTTATTTAGCCTGTAAAAATATTGTTATATATTGTATATCGTGATATTAAAAACATATATCGAGATATTTTTTTTCTCATATCGCCCAGCCCTAGTTGTGCTACAGTATAATAATTAAATTCGTTCTGCTGAACTAGCTGGTTCTTGTTGCAACTACTTTTGTGGCCCAACTCCCGCAGGCCCTTTAACTCATCGGAACTCCGCCTCTAAGGATCCCAACTCTGACCCGGTTGAGCACTGGTACCGTGCTCCCGGACATCAAGCATACTGGAATGGGCGCACGCTTGCCCATCTACACCCTCTTTCTCGTGCTTTCCTTTGAAGACCCGGACGCCTTGTGTTTTCTTCAGCGACTCGGACATTGCGGGTTTTTCCCACAAATACTTTGCGAAATTCATCTCACAATAAGAAAAATCTAGCTGTGTTTGTTTACGGTAAAGACCCGACTCGTGGGCTGAATACACTTTAATAATTACTATGTTTCCAACAAGAACTGTGTCTTTATTCACAGCATCAGAGTTGAAATGAGTTATGAAACAGTGAGTCTATAGAACATACATCTATATACACATTTAATGAGCTCAAGCAGCTTGGTTTGCTATTGTTTTGTTCTGAAAAGGAGAATGTAGCTAGTGTAAATGGGACCGCTTTGGTGTCTCAGGCAATTCCTGTGAGATTGCCATTTTTTTTTCTCTTTTTTTTATTAACGCACACACACACACACACACCTGGTGAGGCTGCACGGTTGTGGGCCCCTGGGGGGACCTGGTAGGGGACAGGGAGGGTTTGAACCCCAGCGCTTTGTTCATTTTGGTTAAAACCACATCGGAGATGAGCTGTCGGTCCTCAGTCTGGTGGTCTCCGATGAGCTGCATGGACGACCCCACCACCTGCAGACCAGACACAGTATGTTCAGAGAGAAGTGTGATGTTGTTTAAGGGGGAGTGACAGCTTTGGAGAATGCTAGTTGTTTTCCCTTGTCATTAAAAGGGTTATCTTGAATGCCTCAAAGCGCCTTACTTCATCCTGTCTTATCTGATAATCGCCCATAGCCTGTATACAGATGGTAACTTGCTAGCTCAATGCTAACCAGGTATCTCAACGGAAACCAGCCAGATCAATGTAGTCCAATATACTTCATGGGGAAGTTTGTTTCCAACTTGCTCTACTTTTACAAGACTCTTTTCAGTTTGGTTCTCTGATCTGTTGTTGGTAAATCCACAACTTTGTTATTCAGTTTTGATATGAAGTAGCACCTCAGTGATGTGTTTATTATGCAGTAGTAACTCCGCGATGTGTTTGATATGCAGTAGTAGTACCTCAGTGATGTGTTTGATATGCAGCAGTGCCTCAATGATGTGTTTGATATGCACTAGTACCTCAGTGGTGTGTTTGATTTGCACTAGTACATCAGTGATGTGTTTAATATGCAGTAGTACTACCTCAGTGCTGTAGTAGTACCTCAGTGATGTAGTCGTTCCCGTCTTTCCCACAGATGGCTTTTACGGCACAGATGTCCAAACCTCCAAAGATCTCTGCACAGGTGTCTACCCACAGCTTGTATCTGGAATAGGAAGTGAACACATTTAAACAACAGAGAAATTATATCTTTCTTTGACGGATATTATACTGTGGCCAATTGTATGTAAAGAGAGAGAGGAGAGCGGGAGAGAGAGGAGAGGACAGGAGAGGAAGGTGAGAGGAGCGTGGAGAGAGGAGAGAGTAGCGTAAAGAGAGGAGAGGATGAGAGAGACCAGAGAGTGGGACCGGAGAGACCAAAGAAAGAGCGGAGAGAGACTAAAAAGAGACCAGACAGAGATGAAGATGTTTACAACCAACATGCATTATTAATGCAAGGGAAAATGTAGGTACCCCAGCTTTAATTTAGTGAGTTTTAGTTGCAGAAGGAGACATTGACACACCCTGAGGCTCCATAGTCCAGCACTGTTTCTTGCAGCGGTATATTTATTGCGTGCACAGGTTACACACACACTTGCAACAAGCAGAGAATGTGTACGCATCTATGACCACGTCACGCGCTCACCGCATTGTTGTTAAAGCGGCTCTCAGGCCAGTGGAGGCAGGAAGTGCTATCATAACAAAGCAGCTGCAGTTACTCCGGGGTCAGAACACTACAAGAGGATGTGGAATCCTGTTCAAGTCCGTACAGCTAGCAACAGCAAGTGCCCCCTTGGAATTGCACCATGCCCCCCGAGGGGAGCGCCTCACTATTTGAGAAGGACTGGTCTATATGAAGTACGCAAAGGTGCTTACTAACTCAAGTGATAGAACACATATCTGATTTTTGTTGCGCATATGTACCTGCGTACCAGTTATGTGGACCCCTGCTAATAGTGCTCATGGTAATGTTTAGCTCCCCTTTCTGGCTCCTATTGACTAATCTGTAAAAGTAAACTCTTCTTTCCCTGTAACCGTTTATGTCACACTCAACATTGTGGGCTTAAATCTGTGGTTTAGCTCTCTCTGTGATCTTGGTTTTCAGACCACAAGTAATATATAGATACTTTATTGAGAAATTCAAGTGTCCATTAGCAGCAAAAATAAAAAAATCATCCGTTGCTGGGTCGCAGGGGCAGCAGTCTAAGCAGAGACACCCAGACTTCCCTATCCACACGACCTTCCGTCAGCTCTTCCGGGGAGACCCCAAGGCGTTCCCAGGCCAGCTGTGTCCCTCCAGCGTGTCCTAGGCCTTCCCCGGGGCTTTGCCCTGAACACCTCCCCAAGGAGGCGTCCAGGAACAAATGCCTGAGCCACCTCAACTGGTTCCTCTTGATGTGGAAGAGCAGCGGCTCTACTCCGTGTGCTCATTTCGTCCGCTTGTATCTGCAATCTTGTCCTTTTGGTCATTACCCAAAGCTCATGACCATAGGTGAGGGAGGGAACAAAGGTTGACCGGTAAATCGAGAGCTTTGCCTTTCCATCACTGCACTGATCCGCCTGTCAATCCCATGCTCCACCCATTCCTCACTCGTGAACAAGACCCCGAGAATCTTGAACTCCTCCACTTGAGGGAGGACCACTATGGGCAAGGCACCTTTTCTCCGGTCGAGCACCATGGCCTGAGATTTGGAGGTGCTGATTCTCATCCCAGCAACTTCACACTAGACTGAAAACCGTCCTAGTGCATCTTGCAGGTCCTGATTTGTTGGAGCCAACAGGACAACATTGTCCGCAAACAGCAGAGATGGAATCCTGTGGTCTTCGAACCGGACCCCACAGGTCTGCGCCTGGAAATTCTGTCCATAAAGACAATGAACAGAACAGGTGACAAAGGGCAGCCTTGGCGGAGGCCAACATGCACCGGGAACAGGTCTGACTTACTGCCGGCGATGCGAATGCAGCTCTGACTCCAGTCATACAGGAACCGGACGGCCCTCAGCAGAGGACCCCGGACCCCGTACTCACGGAGAACCCCCCAAAGGATACCCTGGAAACACGGTCAAACGCCTTCTCCTAATCCACAAAGCACATGTGAACAGGTTGGGCGAACTCCTATGAACCCTTGAGTATCCGATGGAGAGTATAGAGCTGGTCCAGTGTTCCGTAGCCGGGACAAAAACCACACTGAGAATAAGATTAAGATTAAGAGATCCTTTATTCGTCCCACAGTGGGGAAACTTCAGTGTTGCATCACAAGTTATAGAACAGTGAAAGAGGAGCACACAGCACAAGATAAGTGAATAATAGCTCTATAGGCACGTCCCGCGTGACGTCACGCCATTTGGAGCAGCCATTTTGACGATGTAGAAATACAAAACCGCCGGTGATACTACAGGTAGTAGCGAGACTTTCCTATCATGCCAGAGCAATGCTGTGCAGTTGGATGCGACCAGATACGTGATCAGACAAAAGGAATATCTTTATACTGGGAGCACGGAGGTTTTCAGAATTATTTGTTCATGTTTTCATGACAAAAATAAAAGTACAACAAGCTTTCAGTGCCTGTTACTACTGTGCAGAGAAGCTAGCCGAGCTAGCCACTCTCCAACAAATACCAATCAATCAATCAACACCATTAAATGTTAATCCGAGAATACAGTATACATACATCCCTAACACAAATGCACGGAGGTTTTCAGAATTATTTTTTAACCTTTTCATGAAGAAAATACTGTTTTAATGTAACAAAAAGCGATCGTGATACACCCGGAAGTAACCATTAACATGAAACGAACATTTTTAGACACATTTGAAGAGGATCTGATTATGGATTTAGGTTCAGTATATAAATGAGTTCCTCACCCTCGATGTTCAGAATTCTTTGTTCAGTTTTCATGTAGTTCCAGAGAGTTTTTGAACTTGCTAGCTTAGCTCCATTGCTGCGGAGTCGGCGGACGGATACCGTTAAAATGGCTGACACGCGGCTATGGGTCACGTGATTGGGAGATCCCTATACTAATTAAAATAAAACAACATTTCTAACTCTAACATCAATAACAAGTATAAAATCTCTATCTTGAAAATGATAATAATAAAAAGAAATGTACAAATTTTAGATTTGGCAAAATAAGAGGCAAGCATACAGTAAAGTACTGTGTATTCTAGTGCAAGCAATGTGTGGTTATATGTAAGCATCTGTACATTAGCAGCAGTATGTTGACATCTGTACATTAGAAGCACTGCTCCTCCTGAATCCGAGATTCAACTATCAGTCTTAGTCTCCTCTCCAGTACCTTGGAGTAGACATTAGTGGGGAGGCTGAGGAGTGTGATCCCACAATAATTGGAACACACCCACACCCCAGGTTGTTCCAGGGATCCGCTGTAACCACTCTTCCAGCTTCGGGGTCACTGCCCCATGACCATGGGCACTACTGTCACCTTTACCCTCCAGGCTAAAGTTTAGCAGCAATTCAGCAGCTCCGACTAGCTCCGATCTGGCTAATGACCTCCTACACTCCGGATTATGAGAAACTAGCCTCTCACTAAGGTAGGAAGAGATCTTCCTTTTTTCAGTTCTTTTTATATACGTAATCCTGTTCACCAGAGCAGGGATTTTATGTTTGATTATTCAGTGGTGCACTGCTTGAGTCTGGTGTGTGTGAATGGTTGGTTGTGGTCGGAGGGGCTGTTGGCACATACTGGTTGCCTTGCTTCTGTCAGTGTGCCCCAGGGCAGCTGTGGCAACAGTAGTAGTTTATCACCACCGTGCATGGAATGATAGAATAATGACATGTAAAGCGTCTGAGTGTCCAAAAAAGCGCTATATAAAACCGATGCCTTTTATGTCTGATAGAACTGTAGTTACAGGCGTAACATTTCTATTACCTGGTTTTGAACTGGTTCATTTTTCTGCTTGGTTCATAATATGGTCAGTTAGTTAGCTATTGCTCAAAATGCAGATTGTGTTTTTGTGTAAGATTGTGAGGAAAAAAAAGAGTTCAAAATAAAAACAGAATGTTAGTAATCTGATGTTTAATGGTTGTGTGAAGAAGTGTTGTTTGCAACGGCTGTAATTGGGGTTTTAATGTTAGCGCTGGACTGGTAGACCTTTGGAGGTTTGCTAATTAAAAAGTAGACCTTGGGTCAGAAAAGGATGGGCACCCCTGTTTTATATGGTCAAGACGGATCTCATCCACTCCCGGAGCCTTTCCACCAAGGAGGCTGGCCACCACCTCGGTGACCTCAACCAGGGAAATGGAAGTATGCGACCCAATATGCTCAGCCCCTGCCTCCGGAATGGAGTACGTAACGGGGGGATTGAGGAGAACCACAAAGTATTCCTTCCACTGCCCGGCAATATCCCCAGTAGAGGTCAGCAGCTCTCCACCCGCACCGTATACAGTGTTGGCAAAGCACTGCTTCCCCCTCCTGAGGCGCCGGACAGTTTGCCAGAATCTTTTTGAGGCCGTCCGATAGTCATGCACATGGACTCTCCGAATTCGTCCCAGTCCCGGGTTTTTGCCTCTGCAGCACCCCAGCTTGGCCTGCCGTTACTGGACAGCTGCCTCAGGAATCCCACGAACCATCATGGCTCGATCGGACTCCTTCTTCAGCCTGACGGCATCCCTTACTGCCAGTGTCCACCACCGGGTTCGGAGGTTGCCACCGGGACCAGAACCAGAGACCTTGCAACCACAGCTACGAGCCACCGCATTGGCAATAGAGGTGGAGAACATGGTCCACTCAGACTCGATTTTCCCCTCCTCTCCCGGGACCTGGGAGAAGCTCTCCCGGAGGTGTGAGTAGAAAGTCAGCTTGACAGGTGGCTCAGTGAGACGGTCGCAGCAGACCCTCACTATATGCTTGGGTCTACCAGGTCTGACCGGCTTCCTCTCTTGCCAGTGGATCCAACTCTCAAAAGGTTGGTGATCGGTTGACAGCTCCGCCCCTCTCTTCACCCGAGAGTCCGAGACACGTGGTCGAAGGTTAGATGATACAAAGATAAAGTCGATCATCGACCTCCGGCCTAGGGTGTCCTGGTGCCACGTGCATTGGTGAACACCCTTGTGCTTGAACATGGTGTTTGTGATGGACAAACTGTGAGTCCAACAACTGAAAACCACTCAGGTGCAGATCAGGGGGACCGTTCTTCCCAATCGCCCCTCTCCAAGTTTCCATGAGTTTTTCTGCTCTATTCCAAAGTAAAAAGCTGAATTCTTCATTAGCATTTTTCAAAAAGTTAACATTCCTTGAATGGATTTTCGCCTGATACGCTTGGTTTGGACCATGAATCCTCTGTGCTCCGGCCTGGACCAGTGCAAAACTATAAACACTGTACTGCAGTATCTCTGAGACCAATCCACGTTTCCTGTGGCTTAAAGGAGATCATTTTAAACTCTTAGGAGGGCTGTCGCTTTACTTTGAACCGGATTGGAATCTCTCAAAGATGTGTTTCTCATGAATAAAATCACAAATTTGAATAGAAACAATTTTCTCTAAAACTTTGGATAAAAAGGGACTTTTGAAATGGTTCTAAAATTGTAGGTTTCTTTAAAAGTGGCTGGATCATAGCGTGTTTAAAATCCACACTAGTCCAACAAACTCTGGACTTCCGGACCATGCTGTAAAGCTGTTTTTGAGAGGAAAAAAGGCATCATAAGACTTCATTGGATAATTATTTTTCTGGGTCCGTCACCACTGGAAAAGAGTCAGATTACAAGCATGTCAGCGCACATGCTCACAGACCCTTTTGGACCCAGTGGTCCAACCACATAAAAAAAATCTTTGAGAAATTTGATGGGGATGACATCAAGACTTCATGTGGAATAAAACGTCCATAAAAAGAAAAAAGGGATAAAGGCATAAAACTAGTAAAATGATTAAAAGCCAGAGGACGCAATTTACACAAATGGCTTGGCTTGGAGCCATTATTTGGACACGGATATAAGCAACCTTTATGATATAATGATTTAAAAATAGTTCACACTGTTCCGTGGATGATTCATCAATAAAAATACAGGGACTGGGATTTATAATGGGTAATAAAACTTACAATAAAACTTGTTTGTATTAAACAAGGTTCTTGCTTGACTTTGTCTTGATAATTAAACAATAAAAATGTATTGCAGTCAAATGAGATGATACAGCACATACACATTTACTTGTGCCTCCTGAAGAAACTTGTTGGCAATTAAATTGCTTACTTAAAACAATACTGGTTGGCTTAAATAAAATGTGGCTGCCAAAACAATAAAACAAAGTAAAACATGTAAAAATTTAATCTTTTAGAAACATCAAAACGTATTGCACAAACAAAACAAGAGCAATACTGCATTACCCTGAACAGTCTTACTGACTAGTATTTCAAGCTGGAGAGGACCTTTTTCAAGAGGCTACGATTTTCACTGATCCTCGCATAGAACTCAGAGCAACTATTGATCAGATGCATCAACGTCATCCAGTCACGTGATTGTGAATGAGCTTACGGCGGAAGTTAGCATTGCTACGAGAGCAAAACGGACACAACTCTTAAAAACGGAGCTTCCTCTCCTAAATCGAGAAGTGGCTGCTTCAAGCACATGTTTGATAAAGTTATTGGTGGAAGTAGGACATCAGGTCAGGGCTCACAAAGAGTGGTATTTGGAGAAGTTAAGGATCGCCTAACTGGATGTTGACCCGTACCTTCTCCCCCCAGTCAATTTTATCAATTAAATAAAATGTCTATTTTTGCCCAAATTCACCCTACATGATCTTTATCATTATTGTTAACAATGCATCCCCTCACACTGGAGCAGATTTATATGTACATTTTGCTGGTAGCATTAGCAATAGTCCACTTTCCTGTGGCTTTTCTGTCTACAGCCAAACATGATACGTACGGAGAGGAAAATAGTGAAACACGCAATTGACTTAAAAGATAAAAATGTCAATGTTGCAGCGCACATACAGGACAGTAGTAAGAGACACGTTTGACGTGTGTCATTGTCCTCCAAATTAATGGAAATAAAATAAATACAAACTTGTGATTGCTTTATCTTGTAAAAAGTGTTCACTGCATATTAGGGAGTACTTGGATGGGTCCCAGTCCTTTTGGTTGATTGCCGCTGGCCATCGTCGTCTTCTGTCTTCATGACGAGCAGGTATCAGATAAAAAAGCTTATGGCCTTGCCTGTTAGTATAATCAACCGCACTGCAAAATGTCACAGTTTTGGCTGTAATGCGCTGAAACAGGTTGTTTTGGTCAGGTGTCCGTAGGCTCGCAGTTAGACTTCTGCCGTCTGTCATGGAGAGTGGGCGTGGCCGGGACGTCACATGCAAGGGGTCAATACTTAAAGTCTACCCGAGTAATGAGCAGTGCTTTCAGAGAGTGTTTTGATAGTTATACCGTGGCTCTGAATGTCCGCTTTTCCGCCATGAGTGACCGAAAACTCGCACTTACAAAGTGTTAAAGGCAGCATTTTCCTTACCCGGTACTTTCTTGAGAAAACTGTTCCAGGAGTTCTTGGGTTAGCCTCGACATTCTTTTAGGCATGTGGAGCAGAGGAAAGTTGTTCCATAGCGTTTTGTTGTGACCGTAATGTCAATGCCAAGGGACCAATGAGAATCAAGCTACAGACACATGAAGGACTGTTGAGCTTTTTTAATTGGTTCATAATATAAATTGCTATGGCAACTGCTTAATTGGCGTTGCCCAAAGACAACAAGATTCAGCCATTGTGTGCTGTAATAGCTTTTTAACATTGGATAAAGAAAATAAATCGGGATGCCCGGGACAGAGCGTCAGTAAAAGATGGACCAAACTATGCGGCTGGTGAAATCCACCGGGACGCGGGAAGGAGAGCTCAAAATCGGGACTGTCCCGGGTAAATCGGGACTGTCCCGGGTAAACGTATGGTCACAGGGTGACCATACGTCCACTAACGTTATTAAAAACTATTCTATCAAGCTCCAACTAAAACCAATTTCACGAGTTTCAACCCAGTATTCAGCAGAAAACTCATCAAAACTGTCATTGAACCATGAATCCATGTTTCACTCTAACTACGTTTAGTAAAATATATAGATATGACACATACCATCATCATGTTTTAGACTTTAGAACCACAGACACGTTTAGTAAGACTTTAAAACCAGAGACACATGTTCAGAATAAGACCATAACACTACATGTTTGCATTTGATTGAAGACACTCACCATTTCTCTCAAACTCAACATCTGGAGCTGGGACATAGAGTTGAGGCTTCTGAGTTGCGGGTATTGACGTGTTAGCTGGTGTTAGCTTGTTAGCTGGTGTTAGCGTGTTTGCTGATGTCCGTAAAAATAGCGTCAATCCATCTTGTCAAACCACCTCCAGACTTTTCAGTTCTGTCCACTTTTACGGCTGGGATCTTTGATTTCATGGTAGTCACTTTTACGCTTCTAAACTTTTCTTTGCACTGCGATGTCCCTGATGTACTCCTTCGTCCCTAGCGCTACCTTCGCTAACACTTAGCTATTTACACTCACTTGGGTGGCACCATTGAGCTCAAACTGACCGCATCCGCAAACCGGGTCGAGACGGGTCGGACTCGGTCGGACCATAGATCCATACTCCAGCCCGTGGAAATGGCCCTAATGTCCGCAAAGGTCCATTTCTTGCAGATTGCTCCTCATCCTCAAAATCATAATGACTGTCATAACAAGTATACAAGGGCTCATAAATAAAAGCCCCTGACTTGTCCATCACTGAATGATAAATATCTGTTTAAAACGTCCATATACAACGTTATGGCTTACAAATGCATATCAACAAAGCCCAATGACCCCTAGGTGTACGTCACTTCTGGTCTCGGCAATTTTTCCGCGAATATCTTTTTGCATGATTATTATTGATAGAAACTGGGTGAAAAAGGGTGAAACTATCTGTCAAAATGAGTTTTATTTAACACCAAAAAATACCACAATATACGAACAAAATAAGATTAGGTCCCTTTTAAAGTGCTGCAGCACGCTATTAATATTGTTAGTAACTTTTAGTATTATGTATTTATTTGTTTTGTTTGTATGGAGGGATGGAGGTGTTTCTGCTGCTGTTCACCTGCATGTTTTCTACGGGGGACAGGTTAAGTATCTACCTACCTACCTACCTACCTTTACAAAGACAATCTAACACTATATACACCAGGATCACACAGAGCACTAAACCCCAGATTTAAGCCCAAAATGTGACACAACCGGTTTACTTTTACATGCTAATCAATAAGGAGCCAGAGTGAGGAGCCAAACTTCAATGTGAGAACTTCCCTATTGGGCTTCATTGAGCTAGCGGGTTAGCATTTTCTGTCTGTAAACAGTGTTGAAGTACTCACTTGTCTGTCATGGCCACTTGTTCCAACATGGCAGATCCAGTGTTGCTCTTCCAGTTCCCAGATATGGATGTTCTCCTGAAATACATAAATCAGACTGAGCTATGTTCAGGATGTCACTAGACCTGGACTGAGACCCGGTTTATTTAAACAGATGAAACAAAGATCTAAGTTGGAGTCATAATAAAGTAAGCAGTCGGCTCTATGTGGACGATTGGTCAGCGTTGTGAGGGAGAAGTTATGAAATATTTTTAGTCCTGATGTCAGAAAGATCCTAGTGTTCACTCCAAGAGAAACAAGATTGAGACCAGAGAGAGACCAGACAGAGTGACCAGAGAGAAAGTAGAGAGAGGGACCAGAGAGAGAGAGAGACCATATGACAAGTGAGACCAGAGAAGGCCCAGAGAGACAAGAGTGAGACCAGAGAGGGACCAGAGAGAGGTTCCGAGAGAGAATTTAGAGAGACTAGAGAGAGACCAGAGAGGGCTATGTGATTAAATGTGCGATTAATGTATGAAAAAATAGGGTTAGAGGCCTGTTATACTCTTATTACTGCACTGTGATTATTGATTATGTTAATGTTTACTAAATGTTTGTTCAGCACTTTGATTTGAGTGTCGGAACTGTGCTATAAACAATAACCTGGACTCACATGTATGCTTTGTAGTCAGCTCCGATTTTCTGCACGCGGATGTCGTACTTGGCGTCAACAAATGGCTCGGTGGTGCAGTAGGTCTGAGTGATGGCCACTACGCTTGCAATGTCCTGGAAGTCGCTGACGTTGTCCACTTTGACCTGAAGAAAAAGGAAAGATTAGGATTTTAGGAAGTGTTGGCTAGTTTAGAGGCAGCAGAGAGGAGAGAGGGGGGGAGAGAGATAGAGAGGAGATGGATAGAGGGCGAGAGAACACCACAGACACGTGTCTCTCACTTTTGCATCTGCCTCTGTCCTTCTGTAGATAAAACTCCCCCATGAGCCCCTCTTGGACCAGTCAACAGTGTTTGAAGTTACTTCAAAAAAGTAATACACCATGCGTTATATGTGTTGCACTACAGAATTACTGTCACTGAATTGTAAAGTAATACACTGGCATTACATGTTTGCACAGAAATTCCACTTTCTTCCAATGTCCCACACATCTTTTCTTCTACAAACTCAAAATAACGGGGCATATGCTCATCTTGAAAATGTACTATTGCCCGACATAGTGCCTGCTTCTGCTTCGCAAAAAAATAGGTAGTATAATAGGGTAGTATTTTATTCAGTACAAAGGTCAGTAACATGCATTACATAGCATTTTAACTAGTGATGGGCATATGCTGCCCTGTAACACACCAAGGCTTTCCTTGTCAGACTGTCTCTTTTACCAAAAAGGAAAAAAAACATACTTGTATTCAATTTAAGGTTTCCTTTAAAAATTAGATTAACAATTTTGATATACCTATAATGTGCTTCAGTGGGACGGCTCTCTTGCCATATAGTTGTGTCATAAGAGGAAACGGTCGGAATTTGAAACCTCATAGGAAGCAATGAATCAATTACTGCTTTTCAGAAGCTGCAATGAACTAACAGTTTGAAAAGTTTGAAACAGTCTGGCAAGGAAATCCTCGGTGTGTTACGAGGCTGTATATGCCCATCACTAGTTTAAAATGCTATGTAATGCACGTTACTGACCTTTGTACCGAATAAAATACTGCCCAGTTTTTTTTTTATGCCAACCCCACCGTGTTGCAGCAATAAGTAATACATCACAGTAATTATAACACAGAGGGTGAGGGAGTGATATCAGAGTGGTGTGTCACAAATATAAAGTGGATCTAATGTGGTTTTAATCTCCCTTTTACAGGAATAGCGTTTGGGATTTAAAAAGAAAAAATATCTTGTCTAGCAAAAGAGAATACGTCTTATTTTAAGAAATTAATTCTAGCTTTTTCTTAGAAAAATGTGCTTTAAAAAGTAATATTTGGATCCAAAACAAGCAACAATTACTTATTTAGGCTCGTCTTTCTTAATTCAAGAAAAAATAAGAAAACTAGAAATCTTAAAATAAGAAAAATATGTTATTCAATTGAATTAAATGTAGTTTCACTTCAATGTATTTGTGTATCGTCCAAAACCACAGCAGCAGTTGCCTGGGAGGATTTAACTCAATAGCCATTAGAACTATTTCTCACTAAATAAACACTATGTACTGTACATGTTCACCACAAGTAGTTATAGTTGGATCAAACCAAAGTTATGATGTTACACAAACCAAATTACATCATGTTAATCCAACATCTTCACATGGTGTGAAGTCGACACAATTTTTTTTGGGTGGAAATTATGTCCATAATTTTATTACGTTAATTTAACTAGTTATTTTTTGGAGTGTAGAATCATCACGTTAATAATAACAAACACATAAGAGCCATATAAGAAGCAGGACAACCACTGTCCAGAAATGTTAATAAATGTCCTTAGATCATCACTGTCATCATAAAGGAACCACAGAAATCCACCTCTGTGACACTGACACAACACAACATTATTGGCCAACCTCCTCCAAGATCATATTTAATGGGCACATATATTACATCGTTGTACAAAACTGTAATATGGAGTATAGTCCACAATAGCATCTGATATTGTTATGGTATTGAGCTCACTGTGAGCTCCTCACCCCCTCCCTCCTGTTCCTGCTGCCCTGCTCCCTGTTCCTGGCCTGCACACCTGCCCTCATCTCTAATCACCTCTGTGTTTAAGCCTAGGCATTTTCTCAGTCCTCTGTCAGATCCTCAGTCTACATCGTGAGACAACACCTCAGGCCTTTTGCTGTGTTTGCTAAGTTTTTGATGCCCTCGTCTAATCTCATGTTTTGTGTGTTGCTCAGAAACTCGTGCCAGTTGCAGCCACTTCACTCCTGTTCCAGCTCCAACTCCTGCACCAGCTCCTACTCCTACTCCAGCTCCTACTCCTGTTCCAGTTCCAGCCCACCCTACCAGCTCAACCTTCATTCCTGTTAATAAACCCTGTTAACCTGTCCTTTGCATTTGGGTTCACTTCTTTGATCATAACAGATATATTGCTTCTCCACATCACATCACTATTACTGCTATTAATTATTTAATTATTACACTATTACAAGATGTTGGACACATTTGCCTTTTTTGAACTGCACACTTTTGGGATTTATTTTTTAAATTAAGTTTTTATTACTGTTTTTATTTGTCACACCTGATGGATTAAGCGGATTTTAACAGATTACTGTCACTTTTAACTGGACTGTATATCAGCAGTTAACCAGCCTGCCCGCATCCGCCACCATGGACACCGCTACTCCCCCCGAGACCTCATACAGACAAATCTACAAATCACAACTAGCTTCAATCCTTCCATCCAAACCAGTAAACACTATGACCCCCGAGGAACTTCAACGCACTGTCACGCAACTATCCACCGAACTCGTACATGAAGAGAAACTTCTGTACGAGTGAGTGTTTGAATGAGATGTCCATTTCATGGACATCTCATTCAAACAGTCACAGCAACTATCACTCTCCGTTCTTAGACACTCACAGCTCGCTACCACACTGCACGACATTGCACTTTGGGATCCTATCACCTGTCCTCACCCCTCATCATGCTCTACCCCGGTCCTTACCTCACATTCCCCGGTTGCGGCTGTTCCTCCTTTCCCTCCCGGTGCTCATCCTTCCTCTACGGTCCCGGAGCCGCTGCCCAAACCCAGAGCGGCACGGAGCAGAAGCCTGGAGACCACAGAACGTCCACAGTGTCCACTTGCCGCAGGTTGGTGGAAGAGGCTGTGCGCAGACGCTCGGGGAGCTTCCCACGCTCCAAAACAGCGCGGGGCTCCCCGGGTGTCACGCAGGACCAACTGCGGGAAGCCCCGGGGGGATCTCCGTGCCCTGACACGGCGCGGGATACCCCCGGGAGTTCTGTCCCTGCTGTGGGAGGGTCCGTGTGCTCTGACGCGGAGGGAATCCCCAGAGGCGCTGCACAGAGCAGGTCCTACGCTGAGGTAGCCGCGGGGGGGTTCTCTGCGCTCTAGCACGGCGCAGAGTCCTCCCGTAGACGCTGCCTCGCCCGCGGGGGGGTCTCTGCGCTCTATTACGGTGCGGAGTCTTCCCGTGGACGCTGCCTCACCCGCAGGGGGGTCTCTGCCCTCTTTCACGGCGCGGAGTTCCCCCGCGGATGCCGCCTCGCCTACTGGTGGATCCCCCCTGCCCGGTGCGCGGCCCTCCCACATTCGCCCGCACTACCACCACCACCAACCTGGCCACAGTGGAGTCAGTTCGGTCTCCGGCTCCTCCACCCTGCCCCACTGCCGCTTGTGGCAGCTCCGCTCCGGGCAGCTCCGCTCCGGGCAGCTCCGCTCCGGGCAGCTCCGCTCCGGGCACATCCTGGCACTCTCCTGTCCCTTGCAATCCCCTGGGCCCTACTCCAGTCACACCCTCCCCTCCACGGCCTCTGTTTACACCAACCACGCTCCTGGTGGGGGAGTCTATTATCAGACACTGCAACTCACTGACTGCCAGGCCTTTTCAGATTTGAGAAGTGCATTCTGCCAGCAATTTCAGGTGATTTGACCCAAATTTGAAGTGCCACAGAATATACATTTTTTAGACGATGTAAACACCAAGGGCACCAAATTAAAGATTACCCTCTCTGCTTTACTCTGAAATAAACAGTTTGTTTCTACCTTTTACCGTTCTTGAGCTATTCGCCATAGAACATAGCATACTTTCACCCATAACACCAGGTCTGAGCAAGAAAACAGAGAAAACGAGCTGTATGTAAACAGGAACATATCAAGCAGAAAAGTGACTTTTAGATGCATTTTTGCTGCTTTAGTGACAACTCAAACATCTTCACACTTGTTCAATTATGAAAATTATAAAAACATGATTCTGAAATAATACTTTTGATGGAAAATTGTTGGTAATTTATTCACAGATAGAACATTTAACTTTCTTCTAGACCATCAACCAAAACGTCAAACAACAACAGCACAAAGATCAATAAAACAATAAATGTATAAAATAACATGAAGCGTGTGAATTTGAGTGTGTGAGTTTGTCTGCTTTTTCAGTCTCAGTAGTTCAGCTTTGAGTAGTAGAGGTTGAAACAATCTATGTGCAACGGAACACGACACGCTATGCACCACTTGTAGGTCACCCTCCGTGATGAAGAGCTCCAGAAAGTCAGCTGGATCAGATGAATCCAGCTCCGCAGAGCCTCTGTCTCCGAGGTCCAGGTGTTCCTGTGAAGGGCAACTGACTCGGCTCCCAATCCTCCTGTCAGCCATCTTCCCCAGAGCTTCCGCGTGACGAACGTGCTGGAAATTGGATACATACAAGTACTATATTATATAGTGAATGTTACAATAATCAATACATAAACTACAATGAAGGCCATCCTCCCACATCATTGACTGACTACTTTTGGACCAAACAAGTATACTATATTATTATTATATTATATTGCCATGGGATGTATAAGAATAGAAATAGTAGTTTTTACCTTTTTGCCCAGGAACTGCCTCTTGATGCACCTCCTGTAAATAATATAAATTTGTATATCACTATACCAGGAGAATATATAAAAAATAATATTTACAATGGTATGAGGAGTCCCCCCTGGACTGCCACCTTAACGTGGTGGGGGAGTTTGAGTACTCGGGTGATCCTGGGAGCTATGCTGTCAGGGGCTTCATGCCCCTGGTAGGGTCTCCCATGGCAGACAGGTCTCAGGTGACGAGTCAGACGAAGAGCGGTCCAAAAACCACCATGGAC